AGAGGCCTAGACAAGCACAGCCACGTGACCTCGTAGAAGAAAAACGCTCACTGCGAGCGTTTCTAGCCTCAAAACGCGCTAGGATCCGCATATGTGCAGGAAGTGCAGCAGGCGCTCTTCATTCTCAAGGGCCGATGACCAATGATGCTCGCAACCCTTCAACGCCCTTGCTGGCTTGGCAAGAGGCCTAGACAAGCGCAGCCACATGACCTGGTAGAAGAAAAACGCTCAGAACGAGCGCTTCTAGCCTCAAAATGCGCTAGGATCCGCACATGTGGAGGAAGTGCAGCGGGCGCTCTTCATTCTCAAGGGCCGATGACCAATGATGCTCGCAACCCTTCCACGCCCTTGCTGGCTTGGCAAGAAGCCTAGACAAGCGCAGCCACGTGACCTGGTAGAAGAAAAACGCTCACTGCGAGCGCTTCTAGCCTCAAAACGCGCTAGGATCCGCACATGTGGAGGAAGTGCAGCGGGCGCTCTTCATTCTCAAGGGCCGATGACCAATGATGCTCGCAACGCTTCCACGCCCTTGCTGGCTTGGCAAGAGGCCTAGACCAGCGCAGCCACGTGACCTGGTAGAAGAAAAACGCTCACTGCGAGCGCTTCTAGCCTCAAAACGCGCTAGGATCCGCACATGTGCAGGAAGTGCAGCGGGCGCTCTTCATTCTCAAGGGCCGATGACCAGTGATGCTCGCAACCCTTCCACGCTCTGATGGCTTGGCAAGAGACCTAGACAAGCGCAGCCACGTGACCTGGTAGAAGAAAAACGCTCACTACGAGCGCTTCTAGCCTCAAAACGCGCTAGGATCAGCACATGTGGAGGAAGTGCAGCGGGCGCTCTTCATTCTCAAGGGCCGATGACCAATGATGCTCGCAACCCTTCCACGCTCTTGCTGGCTTGGCAAGAGGCCTAGACAAGCACAGCCACGTGACCTGGTAGAAGAAAAACGCTCACTGCGAGCGCTTCTAGCCTCAAAACGCGCTAGGATCCGCACATGTGCAGGAAGTTCAGCGGGCGCTCTTCATTCTCAAGGGCCGATGACCAATGATGCTCGCAACCCTTCCACGCCCCTGCTGGCTTTGCAGCACAGCCACGTGACCTGGTAGAAGAAAAACGCTCAGAATGAGCGCTTCTAGCCTCAAAACGCGCTAGGATCCGCACATGTGCGGGAAGTGCAGCGGGCGCTCTTCATTCTCAAGGGCCGCTGACCAATGATGCTAGCAACCCTTCCACCCCTTGCTGGCTTGGCAAGAGGCCTAGACAAGCGCAGCCACGTGACTTGGTAGAAGAAAAATGCTCAGAACGAGCGCTTCTAGCCTCAAAACGCGCTAGTATCCGCACATGTGGAGGAAGTGCAGCGGGCGCTCTTCATTCTCAAGGGCCGATGACCAATGATGCTCGCAACCCTTCCACGCCCTTGCTGGCTTGGCAAGAGGCCTAGACAAGCGCAGCCACGTGACCTGGTAGAAGAAAAACGCTCACTGCGAGCGCTTCTAGCCTCAAAACGCGCTAGGATCCGCACATGTGCAGGAAGTGCAGCGGGCGCTCTTCATTCTCAAGGGCCGATGACCAGTGATGCTCGCAACCCTTCCACGCCCTTGCTGGCTTGGCAAGAGGCCTAGACAAGCGCAGCTACGTGACCTGGTAGAAGAAAAACGCTCACTACGAGCGCTTCTAGCCTCAGAACGCGCTAGGATCCGCACATGTGGAGGAAGTGCAGCGGGCGCTCTTCATTCTCAAGGGCCGATGACCAATGATGCTCGCAACCCTTCCACGCCCTTGTTGGCTTGGAAAAAGGCCTAGACAAGTGCAGCCACGTGACTTGGTAGACGAAAAACGCTGAGAACGTGCGCTTTTAGCCTCAAAACGCGCTAGGATCCGCACATGTGGAGGAAGTGCAGCGGGCGCTCTTCATTCTCAAGGGCCGATGACCAATGATGCTCGCAACCCTTCCACGCCCTTGCTAGCTTGGCAAGAGGCCTAGACAAGCGCAGCCACATGACCTGGTGGAAGAAAAACGCTCAGAACGAGCGCTTCTAGCTTCAAAACGCGCTAGGATCCGCACATGTGGAGGAAGTGCAGCGGGCGCTCTTCATTCTCAAGGGCCGATGACCAATGGTGCTCGCAACCCTTCCACGCCCTTGCTGGCTTGGCAAGAGGCCTAGAAAAGCGCAGCCACGTGACCTGGTAGAAGAAAAACGCTCAGTGCGAGCGCTTCTAGCCTCAAAACGCGCTAGGATCCGCACATGTGGAGGAAGTGCAGCGGGCGCTCTTCAATCTCAAGGGCCGATGACCAATGATGCTCGCAACCCTTCCACGCCCTTGCTGGCTTGGCAAGAGGCCTAGACAAGCGCAGCCACGTGACCTGGTAGAAGAAAAACGCTCAGTGCGAGCGCTTCTAGCCTCAAAACGCGCTAGGATCCGCACATGTGCAGGAAGTGCAGCGGGCGCTCTTCATTCTCAAGGGCCGATGACCAATGATGCTCGCAACCTTTCCACGCCCTTGCTGGCTTGGCAAGAGGCCTAGACAAGCACAGCCACGTGACCTCGTAGAAGAAAAACGCTCACTGCGAGCGCTTTTAGCCTCAAAACGCGCTAGGATCCGCACATGTGCAGGAAGTGCAGCAGGCGCTCTTCATTCTCAAGGGCCGATAACCAATGATGCTCGCAACCCTTCAACGCCCTTGCTGGCTTGGCAAGAGGCCTAGACAAGCGCAGCCACATGACCTGGTAGAAGAAAAACGCTCAGAACGAGCGCTTCTAGCCTCAAAATGCGCTAGGATCCGCACATGTGGAGGAAGTGCAGCGGGCGCTCTTCATTCTCAAGGGCCGATGACCAATGATGCTCGCAACCCTTCCACGCCCTTGCTGGCATGGCAAGAGGCCTAGACAAGCACAGCCACGTGACCTGGTAGAAGAAAAACGCTCACTGCGAGCGCTTCTAGCCTCAAAACGCGCTAGGATCCGCATATGTGGAGGAAGTGCAGCGGGCGCTCTTCATTCTCAAGGGCCGATGACCAATGATGCTCGCAACCCTTCCACGCCCTTGCTGGCTTGACAAGAGGCCTAGACTGTCAAACATTGTATGTTTATATTGTGTAGGCTGTAGTGGGTTACACCTTAGGGGGTACACAAACTTAGGGTTTCCTACTTGTACCAAACTCTGTGCTAGTTCATTCATTCCCTGCTTCAGTTATTCTGACATGGTTTCAGAGCAGGTCCTTCGCTAGGACCTAATTTTTCCGGGCCCAAGACTGTGTACTAGCGCCCTCGTGCGCCCTACTGTCGGAGCGCGCCCTAGCGCCTCCCCCAGCGCCCTCGAGCGCTTCTCTCTTTTTTTTACTCGGCCCCGCTGGCCCCGTCGACCCCGCGCGCGCCCCGCTTAGAGGCCCCGCTGGCCCTGTCGACCGCGCGCGCGCCCCGCTTAGCGGCCCCGCTGGCCCCGTCAACCGCGCACGCAGCCCGCTTAGAGGCCCTGCCGGCCCCGTCGACCCCGCTTGCGACCCGCCTAGTGGCCCCACTGGCCCCGTCGACCCCGCACGTGCCCCGCCTAGAGGCCCCACGGCCCCGTCGTCCCCGCTTGCGACCCGCCTAGAGGCCCCGCTTACGGCCCCGTCGACCCCGCGCGCACCCCACCTAGAGGCCCCGCCGACACCGCTGTCCCCGTGCGCGCCCCGCATAGAGGACCCGTCCGCCCCGTCGTCCCCGCGCGCGCCCCGCATAGAGGCCCCGCCGGCCCCGTCGGCACCGCGCGCGCCCCGCCTAGAGGCCCCGCCGGCCCCGCTGTCCCCGCGCGCGCCCCGCATAGAGGCCCCGCCGGCCCCGTTGACCCCGCGCACCGCCTCTTAGCGGCCCCGTCGCTACTGCTGCTGCTGCTACTGCTGCTGCTACTGCTGCTACTGCTACTACTGCTGCTACTATGGCTAGTCCTCCTGTGCTCACTTTCGATGTTGAGGGCCGCCCAGTGAAATTCGACACCTGGCTCGATGACCTGCACCTCTTCCTACAGCTCACTGCCAAGGAGGACGTCTCACTGTACGATCATGCCCTCGGCCATACTACTGCCCCTCCTACTACTGCTGACAGCACTGCCCGCTCGCAGTGGCAGACTCGTGACGCCCACGCTCGCTTTGCTATTCGCAACTCCCTGCCGATAGATGAGCGCGAGCACTTTGGCCAGCACAAGACTGCTAAGGAACTGTACACTGCTGTCGTTGCTCGCTACTCCTCACCTGCTTCTGCCACACTAGGCCGCCTCTCACTCCCCTACCTGTTCCCCGACCTGGCCTCCTTTCACACAGTTGCTGACCTCATCACCCACCTCAAGACTAGTGAGGCCCGCTTCCGCGCTGCTATGCCCGATGAGTTCCTTGCTATTAACCCCCCCCCCGCTCTGGCTCACTCTCTACCACATCGTCACCCGCCTCCCTGACTCTCTGCGCGCAGTCAGGGATCACTTCCTAGCTCGCTGCCCCACTGAGCTCACCATTGCCCTCCTCGAGAAGGAACTACTTGCAGCTGAGGCGAGCATCGTCGCTGTAGGTGCCTCTCGTGGCGACCCCCGCACCCCTTTCTTTGAGGGGTGTTCCCCTTCCCCCCTTCAGTCTTGGCTCTGGCTCAGTTTCCTGGCATTCTGTCAGAATGACTGAGCAGGAATGAATGAACTAGCACAGAGTTTGGTACAAGTAGGAAACCCTAACTTTGTGTACCCCTTAAGGTGTAACCCACTACAGCCTACACAATATAAACATACAATGTTTGACACACCCCCATAGGCACAGTGGGAGACAACCACAGGGTCATGAGACCAGTCAAAGCAAAGCAAAGCAAGCTCAGGGTGGATCTCAAGGATACCACACAAATTCTGAGCACAAGCAAGTGGTCACAAGACCAGTTCACATGCAGTTTCATAATATAGCAAGAGATACAGTGATCACAACCTAACAAGTATAAACATGCAGGTATATACACACATATAGAGAACATAGTACAAACAAAGTCAAGAAGTAAGCAAGTGAGGACCAGCAGGCACAAGGCCTAGAAGAGTACAGAAGCGCTGATGGTCACAAGGCTGAAGCGCCTTGGTGAACACATCAGCAGTGTTGGCCTCGGTGGCCACGTAACGCAGACGAAGCTGACCGCGCTGCTGCAGCTCTCGAGCAAGGAAGTACCGCAGGGCGATATGCTTCGTTCTGTGCTCCAGTCTGTGCTCCTCACACAAGGCAATGGCAGCCTTGTTGTCGACGTACAGCACTGGAGGAGAACGAGGCCGCTCTCCCAAGTCGGTCAGCAGGTAGGTCAGCCAGCGTAGCTCCTGGGCCGCCATGGCTGTGGCGTAGATCTCAGCCTCACAACTGGAGCTGAGAACAGAAGAAGAGCGTGTAGAACGCCAAGAAACTGAGCCAGAGCCAAGGCTGAAGGTGTAACCCTGAGACGACCGCTGAGTAGCCTGGTCGTCCGCCCAAGAAGCGTCTGAGTGTCCAGTAAGTACAACTCGGTCTCGCCCTCCAAGCACTAGCCTCATGCCCGACGTACTGCACAAGTAGCGCAACACCCTCTTAGCGGCATCCATGTGCTCCTTCCGGTGACGGCCAGGAGCGACATAGCGTGCAAGGATGCTAAGAGGGTATGCCAGGTCAGGTCGAGTGCAGGTCATCAGGTACATGAGGCAGCCCACAAGCTCTGGATACGGGCCACTCGGCTCTACGGACTCATCCGAAGGAAGAGCTGAGAGCGAGTGACCGGTAGGCAGAGGAGTGGACTGAGGTGAGGAGTACGTGAAGCGGAAGCGCTGAAGGATCTGCTGCACCATGTGTGACTGAGTCAAGGTGATGGTGCGCCGTGCTCTGTCCCGAGTGATCCGCAAGCCAAGATAGCTTGTCAGTTCACCCAGGTCTGTGCACGTGTGTCTCTTCTGCAGCTCCGACTTCACGTGGGCGAGTGCCGCAGTGTCAGCAGTGGCAAAGACCAAGTCGTCGACGTACACGAGGATGTAGAACGGCGGCAGCGAGGTGTCGGTGCGTAGAAACAGCGACGGGTCAGCAGTAGAAGGAGTGAACCCAAGAGCCGCAAGTGTAGTCCTCAGTGTGTCGTGCCACTCACGCGGCGCCTGGCGGAGACCGTAGACCGGTCGCTGGAGCCTCCACTGGGTACCAGGAGGAACCGACCCAGTGAAGCCAGGAGGGCGACGCAGCCAGATCTCCTCGTGCAGGCTGCCCTGTAAGAAAGCTGTGCTGAAGTCAAGTGAGTGAAGCTCGTAGTCGCGCTGAGCGGCTATGTGCAGCAGCACCCGAAGAGTGGTCATCTTTGGGGTGGGGGAGAAGGTCTGGAAGAAGTCTACTCCCTCTCGCTGACTGAAGCCTCGAGCAACGTAGCGCGCCTTGAAGACAGGAGGAGAACCCGGCGGCCGCTTCACCCTGAAAATCCACATGCCACTGACGATGTTCGCCCCAGGTGGGGGAACCTCGTCGACGTAGGTGCCTGTGGACTTCCAGGAAGCCATCTCTGCGTCCATGGCTGTCTGCCACTGAGAGGAGTAGGGACCCGCTATCACCTCTGCGTAAGAGCGCGGGGTCGGGATGTCTGGTGCATCCGGGTCTCCCTTAGGGGCAACTAGCATGGACACGAGATGGGGCAAAGCAGCAGCAAAGCACTGGAACTCCTCCTGTCTGTCCTCAAGGACGTCCGTGCCAAGAGCACACTCACCCCCGACGGACGGAGGACAGACAGACTCAGACTCAGCAACAAGGCTAGCGGCGTAGTCTAGACGACACCGGGCAGCAAAGTCAACCAACTCAGCGACCAGAGCAGACGCAGCAGAGGACTCAAAGGTAGGGTCAGTGACAACAGTGGCGAGGAGACGCGTGACAGTGGGACTGGCAGCACGACGGGAGTCAGACTCCGGGTCAGGAAGAGTAGGTAGAGAGGACGCAGGAGGAGACGGCAGAGGGACACGCTGAGGAGCAGTGGAGGGACGCAGAGTCATGTAGTGAGTGCCAGGGACAGGAGGAGGATGCTCACGTGGGACACGACGACCAGTGCGAGAAGTACGAACAGGCGACGCAGGACGAGACTCAGGCTCACGACGCTCCGTAAGACCTCCTGTCGGACCAGTGTAAGGGGAGGGACCAGGGAGAGGCGAGGCAGGCGGTAACTGTGACTGCGACTGGACAGACGGAGGACACTCTAAGGAGGAAGGAGGACAAGGAGGAGGAGTCTGACCAAGAACCTGCTGAAGGAGCGGCACGAAGTACGGTCGCGGCTGCGCAGCGTCTCCAGAACCAGCAGAGACACCAGCGTCAGGGTCCTCAGTACCAGCAGTAGCTCCAACGTCCGGGTCCTCAGCACCAGCAGCAGCTCCAACGTCAGGGTCCTCAGCACCAGCAGCAGCTCCAACGTCAGGGTCCTCAGCACCAGCAGCAGCTCCACCGCCCGGGTCCTCAGCACCAGCAGCAGCTCCACCGTCCGGGTCCTCAGCACCAGCAGCAGCTCCAGCGCCCGGCTCCTCAGCACCAGTAGCCCCTGCAGTACCAGGGTCCGCAACACCAGGAGCGCCACTCCGAAGACTGCAGCGTCGCGTGTACCACTCTCGGATCTGCTGAAGGGAGGGGAGCTCCCGGGTAGGAGGGGAAGCACTGGTACCAGCTCCAGCAGCACCTCTCCTGAGGCTGCAGTACTGTAGGTACCTCTCCTGCAGCTGCTGCGAGGAGAGGGCTCCTCCAGGTGTAGCACTCCCAGGCTCAGTACCGCCAGACTCAGCACCTCCAGACTCAGCACCCCCAGGCTCAGCACCCCCAGACTCAGCACCCTCAGGCTCAGCACCCCCAGGCTCCGCACCTCCAGGCTCAGCACCCCCAGGCTCCGCACCCCCAGGCTCAGTACCCGCAGGCTCAGCACCCCCAGGCTCCGCACCCCCAGACTCAGCACCGCCAGGCTCCTCACGCGCAGGCTCAGCACCCCTAGCAGGACGAGAGTCGACAGCTACCTCGACAGGCTCAACCGGGTCTACCTGGGACACACCTGAGGGAGCGGCACCCTGAGGGGGGAGGGGGTCTACCACAGCAGCACCTGGCGCGAGGAAGAGAGGCGGGGGGGGGAGCGGGGCAGTGCGGTAGGGGAAGAGGCGGTAGTAGGGGACGGACTCGTCAAAAGTGACGTCCTGAGAAGGCAGAACCCGGCGCGAGGTGACGTGGTAAAACTGCCAACCAGGCGCGTCCAGGACAAAGCCAAGGAAGACACAAGGAACAGCGCGAGAGGAGAGCTTGTCCGCGGACGTATCGCGAACAAAAGCTCGGGATCCCCAGACCCGAAAACGCGACGCATCCTCTCCCGTCCAACGCAGTGTCGGGGAAGTCTCCGGTAAGGAGACACGGGGCCAGAGGTTGAGCTGATGCGCAGCGTATCGGACAGCAAACGGCCACAGAAAGTGGGGGGCAGCCGCATGGATCAAGGAGGTACGAGCGACCTCCATGACCAAGCCAATGCGGCGCTCAGCAACCCCATTCTGCTGTGGAGAGGCCGGAAGCGTGAACGACTGCTCAATGCCGTGCTCCGCACAGTAGGCTGCCAGGAGGTCGGAGGAGAACTCACCACCTCTGTCAGAGTGCAAACGCAGGACAGGAAAGTCCGAGCGGAAACGCTCGCTGAGCTGGAGACGAGCTCTGCGGATCCAAGGGATCAAGACATCAGGGACCTCACCCTTGGTGCGCAAGGGGAAGACCGTGGTGTAGCGCGAGTAGTCGTCAACAACAATCAGGAAGTACCTCTCCTGACCCTGTCCACGGACGCGGGCTGGGCCCCACACGTCCAGGTGGAGCGTCTGCAAGGGAGCAGTTGTCGGGGGAAAGGAGGAGGAGTGAGGAGCGGCGCGCTGCCGCCCCTCGACACAGGGAAGACAGGGAGGAGCAGACGAGGACGGGAGGGGAGGGAGAACCCTGGGAAGACCAGAGACAAGGTGCCGTTTGTGCATGGCACGAAGGCGCTGCACAGACGGGTGACCAAGTCGGTGGTGCCAGAGGACGGTCTCGTGCGCCAGAGAGCGACACGAGCAGGGGGCCGACAGCTGACCTGACGCAGACGCGGACGCGGCTACCTGAGGGGACTCAGTGGTCAGTGTGTACAGGTCCGACCCCGGCTGCCGAGTGAAGGTAGCCAGGTGACGGCCCGTCCGAGCACACGTGCAGTGTGTCACGCGCTCGTAGGCAGGGGTGAACTGGTGAACACCCGCATCCTGGAGCGCACAACCCGCCACCAAGTTCGTAGAGAACGAGGGGAGGTGGAGACCTGACAGTGTGCCCGACGGGACCGCAGGACAGGGAAGAACAGTGGAGGAGGTCGCAATGACCGGACCCCCAGAGGGGTCAGCGAGGGAGACAGCAACTGGCCGAGCAAGCGGCTCAAGGGCAGTGCGGTCACGAAAGAAACAGCGAGAAGCACCTGAGTCTAGGGTGAAGGTGTGCAGTGCCTCAGTCGACTCAGTACCAGGGGGGACAGACTCACTAGCACCTAGAGCGACAGCCTCACCATCACCTGAGGTAGCAGACACGCGAGTACCTGCAGTGGCAGTCTCACTAGCACCTAGAGCGGCAGCCTCACTGGTCAGTATGCCCGGATCGGGCGGAACACGCAGGTACTGAGCACCCTCTCCACTAGTAAACATCGCATACATGGCAGTGATAATAGCATCAAAGTCTAGAGCCCAGATATCAACTCCCTTCCTCTCCAGATCAGCCCAGCGGGGCAGCTCAGTGGCATCAGGGAACTGGGTGCGCCAAGCGTCGTCAAGGCGCGAGAAACAGCGCTGCGTGGGGTGCGGCCTCCCACACGGCTGACCAGTGCGGTCACCAGTGCGGATGACGTACGTGCAGCTAAAGCCACCCGCCCCCCGGCGCTGCGAATACCACTCACGGGCCTCCTGGAGCGACGGAGTGTGCTGCTGGCTCAGACCACCGCCAGCGCCTCCACGACCACCACCGCCGCCGCCACCTCCTCGACCACCTCCTCCCCTGCCGCTGCCACGACCACCTCCGCCCCCGCTGCCGCCCCCGCCCCTGCCACCGCCCCCGCCGCTGCCGTCACCACCCCCACTGCCGCCACTAGCCTCTCCAGCCCCACCTCCACTCCCACCGCCTCCACCCCCGCCTCCCCCGCCGCCACCTCCACCCCTGCCCCCTCTGTTCCTGCGGCGCCCACTCAGTGCGGACGCCGTCCCGACCTTCTCAGCACCAAGGAGGTCGACAGCAGAAGCAGAGGCTACAGAGGGGAGAAGGGGGGAAGGGGAACACCCCTCAAAGAAAGGGGTGCGGGGGTCGCCACGAGAGGCACCTACAGCGACGATGCTCGCCTCAGCTGCAAGTAGTTCCTTCTCGAGGAGGGCAATGGTGAGCTCAGTGGGGCAGCGAGCTAGGAAGTGATCCCTGACTGCGCGCAGAGAGTCAGGGAGGCGGGTGACGATGTGGTAGAGAGTGAGCCAGAGCGGGGGGGGGGTAATAGCAAGGAACTCATCGGGCATAGCAGCGCGGAAGCGGGCCTCACTAGTCTTGAGGTGGGTGATGAGGTCAGCAACTGTGTGAAAGGAGGCCAGGTCGGGGAACAGGTAGGGGAGTGAGAGGCGGCCTAGTGCGGCAGAAGCAGGTGAGGAGTAGCGAGCAACGACAGCAGTGTACAGTTCCTTAGCAGTCTTGTGCTGGCCAAAGTGCTCGCGCTCATCTATCGGCAGGGAGTTGCGAATAGCAAAGCGAGCGTGGGCGTCACGAGTCTGCCACTGTGAGCGGGCAGTGCTGTCAGCAGAAGTATCAGGGGCAGTAGCATGGCCTAGGGCGTGATCGTACAGTGAGATGTCCTCCTTGGCAGTGAGCTGTAGGAAGAGGTGCAGGTCATCTAGCCAGGTGTCGAATTTCACTGGGCGGCCCTCAGCATCGAAAGCGAGTACAGGAGGACTAGCCATAGTAGCAGCAGCAGTAGCAGTAGTAGCAGTAGCGACGGGGCCGCTAAGAGGCGGTGCGCGGGGTCGACGGGGCCAGCGGGGCCTCTATGCGGGGCGCGCGCGGGGACAGTGGGGCCGGCGGGGCCTCTAAGCGGGGCGCGCGCGGGGTCGACGGGGCCGGCGGGGCCTCTAGGCGGGGTGCGCACGGGGTCGACGGGGTCGCGGGGCCTCTAGCCGGGTCGCAAGCGGGGACGACGGGGCCGCGGGGCCTCTAGGCGGGGCGCGTGCGGGGTCGACGGGGCGCAAGCGGGGTCGACGAGCCGGCGGGGCCGCTAGGCGGGGCGCAAGCGGGATCGACGGGGCCGGCGGGGCCAGAGGCGGGTCGCGAGCGGGGCCGACAGGGCCGGCGGGGCGTCTAGGCGGGGCGCGGGCGGGGTCGACGGGCCGGCGGGGCCGCTAAGCGGGGCGCGAGCGGGATCGACGGGGCCGGCAGGGCCTCTAGACGGGGCGCCCGTGGGGTCGACGGGGCCAGCGGGGCCTTTAAGCGGGGCTCGCGCGCTGTCGACGGGGCCAGCGGGGCCTCTAAGCGGGGCGCGGGCGCGATCGACGGGGCCAGCGGGGCCGGAAAAAAAAAAAAAAAAAAAAAAAAAAAAAGAGGAGAAGCGCGCGAGGGCGCTACGGGGAGGCGCTAAGGCGCGCTCCGACAGTAGGGCGCACGAGGGCGCTAGTAGAGAGTAAGTAGCGGTGGGCCCGAAGAAAAATTAGGTCCTAGCGAAAGACCTTAGTGCTCTGAAACCATGTCAGAATGACTGAGAAGGAATGAATGAACTAGCATAGAGTTTGGTACAAGTAGGAAACCCTAACTTTGTGTACCCCTTAAGGTGTAACCCACTACAGCCTACACAATATAAACATACAATGTTTGACACATTCATTCCTTGCTTCAGTTATTCTGACATAGACAAGCGCAGCCACGTGACTTGGTAGAAGAAAAACGCTCACTGCGAGCGCTTCTAGCTTCAAAACGCGCTAGGATCCGCACATGTGGAGGAAGTGCAGCGGGCGCTCTTCATTCTCAAGGGCCGATGACCAATGATGCTCGCAACCCTTCCACGCCCTTGCTGGCTTGGCAAGAGGCCTAGACAAGCGCAGCCACATGACTTGGTGGAAGAAAAACGCTCACTACGAGCGCTTCTAGCCTCAAAACGCGCTAGGATCAGCACATGTGGAGGAAGTGCAGCGGGCGCTCTTCATTCTCAAGGGCCGATGACCAACGATGCTCGCAACCCTTCCACGCCCTTGCTGGCTTGGCAAGAGGCCTAGACAAGTGCAGCCACGTGACCTGGTAGAAGAAAAACGCTCAGTGCGAGCGCTTCTAGCCTCAAAATGCGCTAGGATCCGCACATTTGGAGGAAGTGCAGCGGGCGCTCTTCATTCTCTAGGGCCGATGACCAATGATGCTCGCAACCCTTCCACGCCCTTGATGGCTTGGCAAGAGGCCTAGACAAGCGCAGCCACGTGACCTGGTAGAAGAAAAACGCTCCGTGCAAGTGCTTCTAGCCTCAAAACGCGCTAGGATCCGCACATGTGGAGGAAGTGCAGCGGGCGCTCTTCATTCTCAAGGGCCGATGACCAATGATGCTCGCAACCCTTCCACGCCCTTGCTGGCTTGGCAAGAGGCCTAGACAAGCGCAGCCATGTGACCTGGTAGAAGAAAAACGCTCGGAACGAGCGCTTCTAGCCTCAAAATGCGCTAGAATTCGCACATGTGGAGGAAATGCAGCGGGCGCTCTTCATTCTCAAGGACCGATGACCAATGATGCTCGCAACCCTTCCACGCCCTTGTTGGCTTGGCAAGAGGCCTAGACAAACGCAGCCACGTGACTTGGTAGAAGAAAAACGCTCAGAACAAGCGCTTCTAGCCTCAAAACGCGCTAGGATCCGCACATGTGCAGGAAGTGCAGCGGGCGCTCTTCATTCTCAAGGGCCGATGACCAATGATGCTCGCAACCCTTCCACGCCCTTGTTGGCTTGGCAAGAGGCCTAGAAAAGCGCAGCCATGTGACCTGGTAGAAGAAAAACGCTCACTGCGAGTGCTTCTAGCCTCAAAACGTGCTAGGATCCGCACATGTGCAGGAAGTGCAGCGGGCGCTCTTCATTCTCAAGGGCCGATGACCAATGATGCTCGCAACCCTTCCACGCCCTTGCTGGCTTGGCAAGAGGCCTAGACAAGCGCAGCCATGTGACCTGGTAGAAGAAAAACGCTCGGAACGAGCGCTTCTAGCCTCAAAACTCGCTAGGATCCGCACATGTGGAGGAAATGCAGCGGGCGCTCTTCATTCTCAAGGGCCGATGACCAATGATGCTCGCAACCCTTTCACGCCCTTGCTGGCTTGCCAAGAGGCCTAGACAAGCGCAGCCACGTGACTTGGTAGAAGAAAAACGCTCAGAACAAGCGCTTCTAGCCTCAAAACGCGCTAGGATCCGCACATGCGGAGGAAGTGCAGCGGGCGCTCTTCATTCTCAAGGGCCGATGACCAATGATGCTCGCAACCCTTCCACGCCCTTGTTGGCTTGGCAAGAGGCCTAGAAAAGCGCAGCCATGTGACCTGGTAGAAGAAAAACGCTCACTGCGAGTGCTTCTAGCCTCAAAACGCGCTAGGATCCGCACATGTGGAGGAAGTGCAGCGGGCGCTCTTCATTCTCAAGGGCCGATGACCAATGATGCTCGCAACCCTTCCACGCCCTTGCTGGCTTGGCAAGAGGCCTAGACAAGCGCAGCCACGTGACCTGGTAGAAGAAAAACGCTCAGAACGAGCGCTTCTAGCCTCAAAATGCGCTAGGATCCGCACATGTGGAGGAAGTGCAGCGGGCGCTCTTCATTCTCAAGGGCCGATGACCAATGATGCTCGCAACCCTTCCACGCCCTTGCTGGCTTGGCAAGAGGCCTAGACAAGCGCAGCCACGTGACTTGGTAGAAGAAAAACGCTCAGTGCGAGCGCTTCTAGCCTCAAAACGCGCTAGGATCCGCACATGTGGAGGAAGTGCAGCGGGCGCTCTTCATTCTCAAGGGCCGATGACCAATGATGCTCGCAACCCTTCCACGCCCTTGTTGGCTTGGCAAGAGGCCTAGACAAGCGCAGCCACGTGACCTGGTGGAAGAAAAATGCTCACTGCGAGCGCTTCTAGCCTCAAAACGCGCTAGGATCTGCACATGTGGAGGAAGTGCAGCGGGCGCTCTTCATTCTCAAAGGCCGATGACCAATGATGCTCGCAACCCTTCCACGCCCTTGCTGGCTTGGCAAGAGGCCTAGAAAAGCGCAGCCACGTGACCTGGTGGAAGAAAAACGCTCACTACGAGCGCTTCTAGCCTCAAAACGCGCTAGGATCCGCACGTGTGGAGGAAGTGCAGCGGGCGCTCTTCATTCTCAAGGGTCGATGACCAATGATGCTCGCAACCCTTCCACGCCCTTGCTGGCTTGGCAAGAAGCCTAGACAAGCGCAGCCACGTTACCTGGTAGAAAAAAACGCTCACTGCGAGCGCTTCTAGCCTCAAAACGCGCTAGGATCCGCACATGTGGAGGAAGTGCAGCGGGCGCTCTTCATTCTCAAGAGCCGATGACCAATGATGCTCGCAACCCTTCCACGCCCTTGCTGGCTTGGCAAGAGGACCAGACAAGCGCAGCCACGTGACCTGGTAGAAGAAAAACGCTCACTGCGAGCGCTTCTAGCCTCAAAACGCGCTAGGATCCGCACATGTGGAGGAAGTGTAGCGGGCGCTCTTCATTCTCAAGGGCCGATGACCAATGATGCTCGCAACCCTTCCACGCCTTTGCTGGCTTGGCAAGAGGACCAGACAAGTGCAGCCACGTTACTCCGTAGAAGAAAAACGCTCGGAACAAACGCTAGTACCCCCCAAACCCGGAAGGATCTTCACATGTGCACAAAGTGCAGCGGGCGCTCTTCATTCGCGAGCGCCGATGACTGATGATGCTCGCAACCCTCCCACGCACTTGCTGGCTTGGCAAGAGGACCTGACAAGCACAGCCACGTGACTAGGCGGAAGAAAAACGCTTAAAATGAGCGCTTCTACCCCCAAAATGCTGAAGGATCCGCATTCGTGCAGGAAGTGTTGCTGGCGCTCTTCATTTGCAAGCGCCGATGACCGATGATGCTCGCAACCCTCCCACGCCCTTGTTGGTTTGGCAATAGGACCAGACAAGCGTGTCAGAATCTAGAATAGAACGAGAATGGATGAACTAGCAGGAAGGTGGGTACAAGTATGAAACCCTAAGTTTGTGTACCCTCTAAGGCTAAACCCACTATAGCCTACACAATATAAACATACAATGTTTGACACACCCCCATAGGCGAAGTGGGAGACAACCAGAGGGTCACAAGACCAGTCAAAGCAAAGCAAAGCAAAACAGGCTCAGGGTGGATCTCAAGGATACCACACAAATTCCGAGCACAAGCAAGCGGTCACAAGACCAGTTCACATGCAGTTTGATAATATAGCAAGAGATACAGTGATCGCAACCTAGCAAGTGTAAGCATGCAGGTATATATATATAGATCACAGTACAAATATAGTCAAGAAGTAAGCAAGTGAGGTCCAGCAGGCACAAGGCCTAGAAGAGTACAGAAGCGCTGATGGTCACAAGGCTGAAGCGCCTTGGTGAACACATCAGCAGTGTTGGCCTCAGTGGCCACGTAACGCAGACAAAGCTGACCGCGCTGCTGCAGCTCTCGAGCAAGGAAGTACCGCAGGGCGATGTGCTTCGTTCTGTGCTCCAGTCTGTGCTCCTCACACAAGGCAATGGCAGCCTTGTTGTCGACGTACAGCACTGGAGGAGAACGAGGCCGCTCTCCCAAGTCGGTCAGCAGGTAGGTCAGCCAGCGTAGCTCCTGGGCCGCCATGGCTGTGGCGTAGATCTCAGCCTCACAACTGGAGCTGAGAACAGAAGAAGAGCGTGTGGAACGCCAAGAAACTGAGCCGGAGCCAAGGCTGAAGGTGTAAC